CCAATCAAATTGATATGTAGTGGCCCCCTGGATAGCTGAGTTAAGGATTCTAAAGCTGAGTGTAAGCTCACTGTAAAAGAATGTGGTGACTGATCTGGGCAATGAATGGAGAAAGGACAAATTGTAGCACATGTGCCGTGTATTTGACATCTTTGCTGTGATTAAAAAACAGACAAGCCAGCATTCAAATCCTTAGGCATGTAGGACCTGTGCAACTTTGGGCAAGCAGCTTTATCTATCTAGCATCATTGTAAGACTCGGGTAGTAATACCTACCTCATAGGATTATTGCGAGAGTTAAACAAGACTATATTGGAGGTATGGAGAACATTGTGTAAGAATTCCATTGTCTGAAGTGGCAGCTCCCATGCTAAGATTCTGCTCTCTGTAGTATGGAGGTGAGCTTCCAGCTTCATGTCCAGGCTAATGGCAGCAAGAGGCAGGAAAGGGAGGAGGAGAAAGCTTAAAGGCAGGACAGACCCAGTCCTCGTGGAGGAAGATGCAGTGATGGAGCCAGGAGCAGAGACCTGGGAGAAGGGATGTGTCTAACAAATTTTTTTTGGTGAAATACTGTGGCCCTGTGAACCCTCTCCCTGATTTCCTGGAATCTTTAGGAAAACTACACAAGTCACAATATGCTTGGTCCATTGGATTTTTTGCGTGGAGAAGCTGGAGAAGGGCAGAGCTTTGGATCAAGTTTAGCAGGGGTGCAAAACAATGTCTTCTCCTATTGGTGATGAGTACTCAGTAAATGATAGTTATTGCCATCCCCATTGCTACCACAAGTGTTTCGGTAGACATATGAATAAGATATGACGATGGCCTAGAGGAAAGAGAGCTAAGTTGGCCTGGGTGGATCTGTCCTTAATTATACTGTCATTCTTAAACGTTAAGAATTCTTGTTAAGAAGAAGTCTTTGTTTAAATCTCAGGGCCCATGAGAGTCCAGAACTAAACCTATGTTTATATGGGCAAATAATTTTGACAAAAGAGCCAAAAACATACAGTGGAGAAAGGAAAGCCTCTTCAATAAATGGTGCTAGGAAAACTGGAAAGCCACCTGCAAAAGTATGAAACTACACTGTTGTCCATCACCATACACCAAAATTAACTCAAAATGGATTAAGGACCTGAATATAAAACCTGAAATGATAAATTGCATAGAAGAAAATATAGGAACTAAACTCAAGGACCCTGGACTTAAAGAGGATTTTATGAATTTGACCTCAAAGGCAAGAGAAGTAAAAGCAAAAATAAATGAATGGGACTATATCAAACTAAAAACTTCCGCACAGCAAAAGAAACCATCAGCAAGATAAAGAGACGACCATCCGAATGGGAAAATATATTTGCAAGTAATGCCTCTGATAAAGGCCTAATACCCAAAATATACAAAGAACTCATGCAACTCAATAACAACAAAAAACCAAACATTCCAATCAAAAAATGGGCAGAAGAACTGGACAGACACTTCTCCCAAGAAGACATACAAATGGCCAACAAACATACGAAAAGATGCTCAATGTCACTAGCTATGAGGAAAATGCCAATCAAAACCACAATTATATACCATCTCACACCTGTTAGAATAGCTGTTATCAACAGGACAAATAATAACAAGTGTTGGAGAAGATGCGGAGAAAAAGGAACCCTCATACACTGCTGGTGGGACTGCAAATTGGTCCAGCCACTATGGAAAACAGTATGGAGGTTCCTTAAAAAACTAAGAATTGATGTGCCATATGATCCAGCAATCCCTCTACTGGTATTTACATCAAAGACTTGAAAACATAAAAGATATTTGCACACCGATGTTCATAGCAGCGTTATTCATGGTGGCCAGGGCATGGAAGCAACCGTAGTGTCCTATAATAGATGATTGGATAAAGAAACTGTGGTACATATATACAATGGAATATTATTCAGCCATACCAAAAGATGAAGTACTACCATTTGCGACAATATGGATGGACCTTGAGATAATCACAGTAAGCAAAATAAGCCAGACAGAAAAAGTTGAAAAGCATATAATATCACCTATATGTGAGATATAAACCTAAAAGTAACAAGTAGGACACACAAACAGAGACTCACGGACATGGACAATAAACTAGTGGTTACCAGAGGAGGGCGGAGGGAGTGGAGAGACATAAATGGGATAAAAGGGGTCAAATATGTGGTGACAGAAAAAAACCTAACTATGGATGGTGAACGCACAATGCAATATATATGCCTTATTGTTGAATTGTACACCTGAAAGTTACTGGATTTCGTTAACCAATGTCACCATAAAAAAATAAATAAATAAATAAATAAATCTCAAAGTCCAGATAGCCTTTTATAGTGTAGACTCTGAAATGTTTTATAGACTAGAAGTCTATATGAATCTAAGCTGTATGAGTTCTTGGGTTTTATTAAAGGACGCTCTGGAAACATAAACTTGTTTGTCTTCCTGATAAGCCATGCAACTCCTGATCATAGAGTCAAGTTCTCTGTGATAAGAAGTGAATATGCCACAGTACACGCCCTTTTTGAATTTCCTGATCCAAATGCAAGGCTGACTGCATAAGGTCCTTGGCATCTGCATTTAATCCCAAAATAATCTTTGCCGAACACCTCTTTTGCTTTTCTCAGTCTTGCTCTGGTTGCTATTTGTTACGGTATTTTCTTTTAGCTTTTTTGGATCTCATTTTGACTATTATTTCCTGATTCTCTTTGACATCAGTGTAGCAGAGGGTAGTACTCTGAGCCTTGTAAGCTATTGGGAGTATCAAGACCAGCAGAAGTAGGGCTCCCACGTAGGGCTCTTAGAGATTTTGAGCAACACTTGGGACATCACAAAGGTAAAAAGAACCAGCAAATATGAAATTCCTCTACAAGGTATTGAAAGCTTAAAAGGTTTGAGGAAGAATATTCCCACTGCAGATCAATGTATGAATAGAGGGGGCTCTTCTGGCTTTAGCTGTGACTCAGAAATAGAATTGCTTCTCTCCATAGCAGGCACAGCAGTCTGGAGGTTAGGCTGTCCACAGACATCCCTCTCCAACCACCCTTGTTTCACTTCTCTGGGAAGTAAGCCAAGTTGGGAAATCAAGAAGCCCCAGGCGGTTGCATTTTCCACAGTGACTTCAGTGGGTGTTTGGGCAGTGAAGACACTCATATTCTGACAGGTAACTAGAGAGGAACTCAGGTTTTCTCTTTGTAAAAGCTAGATCCTGATTCATTTGATGGCTGGTTTGATTTTTTTCCTTTAGTTAGAAGAAAAGTCCATTAAATTAGAGAAAGCCTGTTCTTATCTGTGGTTCCGTGTTAAAATGGAAAACAATGGAAAACAAATAGGAGAGCTTTCCAGGGGGCAAGTCAGGCAAAGAGGAGGAAAGCTCAGGGAGTGGGGAGGGACAATTCCTCAGCCTCTGCTTCCCCCTGAACATCATTTGGGCAAAGCTGGGGTGATTATAGGGAGTGGAAATGCCATAAAGATTAGGCATGGGAAGTTGAGGGGCTGGAGATGGCACATCTATGGAATGTATATACACTCACACACTTTCATGTGCACACACAGAATTCTATTTATGCACACTGGTGCTTTGGGTGACTACAGCGACTGAAGCAAAGTTTTCATCAAAGTTTAAACTGTACAACTTTATTTTACTTGCATCGCATAAGAAGGGACTCTCCTAGAATATACCCTTTCACTAAGAAAAGTGGGCAGATTTCCTCCTTTCCTCATCTCTTATGTAACCTGGCTGTTCCAGTCCACTCATACCCTCTCCTAGAAATACAAGTTCCTGTTCATCTGCAGCTAAAACTGACATTTTCTATATCTTATCTTAAATGTTATTTTTTTTTCAGTTTTCAGATATTAAGAATGTGTTCCAATCTGATATCAGGAAAGCAACTATTGACTTATTGTGACTTGTAATGCTGCTCCTCCTAGATGACCTATATAGATGTAAAATATGATTTTTAATCATATTTCACTCCCAGAGAAGTGGCAAATGGTAGAAATTTCAGGTATTGTAGAAGGCTGAAAAAATAAATATATAAATTACTAACCTATTAAATTATTATTAAATTTATTATTGTTATTAAATTGTCAAAAAATTGATGTTATTAACAAAAGAAGCGCTAACACTTATAAAGACACTTTCTAGGTGCCAGGCATTTTACTTAAGTGCTCTGCATATATCCATTTAATTCTCAGGACAACTCTGTGGAATAGAAACTATTTCATTCCCATTTTGCAGATGAGGAAATTGAAACAGAATTTGAGCAACTAGCCCTGGATCTGGCGGCTAGGAAATAGTAAAGGCAGAATTTGAACTCATGGCCTGGCTTCAGAGTCTGTGACAATTTTTTTTTTTTTTTTTAGTGATGAAAAGGGTGATGGAGATGGTTGTTAAAGTCTCTCAAATTACACCCTCAGGATAGTCCTATTAAAAATTTCTCATGGGAATCAGGTGTCCAAGTGAGAGGTGTCTTAGAGCTTTTGTTTGACACTAAGAAGTTACCTCACCTTTCTAGAGCTCAGTTTTCTCTTCAATGAAACAAGGAGGGTATACTAGATAACACCTTCAGCATTCACACCCTAAAATGCTGATCTCTTGCTGCATGTGAGGAAGAAGCAGGTCAGTTCCTACTTCCTAGACCTTTCAAGCTAGAAGTTGCCTGGTAGAGCGTGACGCAGATAAAGTGGTAACAAGGGATGAGGGCTAGAGCTCCCGGAAACCTCAACCTTTACCTAAGAAACGTAAACAGGTGCCTACTGTGTACGGTATGTTTTAAACAGATAATATAATTTAATTCTCATGGTAAGCTTGTGAAGTCGATAGTATTGTCTCTATTTAAAAAAAATGAAGTTGAAACTTAAGTCATACCAAGTGACTTGCCCAAAGACAGCCCAGCTAATAGGGGATGCTGGCAGGAGTCTGACTCCAAAACCCATGGTGCATTTCACAGCTCACGGCGCATTTCACAACCCGCGCCTCCTTTAGGATGAGTTTGTCATTCCATTCTCGCTGCAAGCCTACGTGGGAGTTACCATCTCCCCATTTTACTGAGGAGGAAAGTGACAGGCTGGTAAAGTCACCTGCCAAATAAGGGGCCTGGTTTCGACTGGGCGGGAGAAGTGCCTACAGGCGCTTGCACAAGGGCGCGGAGGCCGCAGCCCAGCTGCTCCTCCTGGCCTTGCCTCCCCGCGGAGCTCCCACCTTTGCAGGTCCTAGCCCCGCGCACCGCCCGCTCGAAACTACACTTCCCGGCAGGACGCGGGAGCGCGCACGCGCACCGGGGCCTCCGCCATGGCGACCGTGCTGTCCAGGGCGCTCAAGCTCCCGGGTAAGGCGTCGCAGCCTCGCGACCACCCCGCCCCTGCAGGGCCTGAGGAGACTGGGAGGCAAGGCTCTGGGGGCGAAGCCGGTGGGGGCCTGGCCCTAACCCGGGTGGAGCTGCAGGCGCACGGAGGGAGCGGGTGCAGTCTTTGCAGGCTGGGGTCCGTGCACCACCAGGGGGCGAGAGATGCGACCGATGGGTCGGGGGTCGCCGGCGCGGGGCGAGCCTGGGAAACTCCAAAGGAGGGATAACCGGAGGCTTGCGGGGCAGGTGGCGGGGAGCGGGCTGGTGCTGCTGCGGCGGCGAATGTCAGAGCTCGTGTCGCCGCCGTCTCAAGGGGAGGGCTGGTGAGGGGAGCATCCTTTCCCTGGCGCCGCGGTTGATGTACCGCTGGGTCTCCAGCTCCTCTTTTGGGTTGGACCTGGGCGGAGGGAGGGGGCAGCAGGACGACGTGTGACCTTCTGGAGTAGCCTCTTCATTTAATGACAGCATTGACGCAGCCGTGAGGTAGGTGGCACAGGTATTTTTCGTCCTAGTTTACGAAAGAGGAAAACGAGAGACATTTGGCTAATTGACTTGTCCAAGGTCGCGCAAGCAGTATTGAAAAACCTGGAATTGAATGCCCGGGGTCTTTTAACGCTAGATCCTGGGCTTTTGATTCCTCTTGGTCAGCCTCTGGTTGTCGAAGCTAAATATTTATGAGGGAAATGATTTGGCACCTGCAAGTTGCAGGTAATGTATGGAATATTGTTTAAAGACGCGCTGGTGGTGATGACAGCCTCCAGAGCTAATTCAGTACTTTAGGGAGCAGCTCCAAGTTTTTTTCAACCCCTCTTAAACCTCCAGAATGGGACTGTGCTGTTAGAAAACTGCTATTTAAGTAAGAGTATATTTATTCTGCCCAAATAAATTTTAAACATTAAGGCTTTAAAAAATTTATGGTTCTACCTAAAATTTTAACATTAAGCTATAAACATTTGCTTGCTGATAACTTAAGGTGTTAGAAAAGCAGTTGCTCTCACTGGCATCTTTAAAAGGGCTAGTTTGGATGTCTCCTGGATATCCAGCATAAGACTGCGGGAGGATCGCAGGGTGCTTGTTCTTAAGGAGCTTCCAGTATGCTACATTGAGCCATGGATAACTGGGTTAGATATGATTTGATATAAATATGCATCTCTGTCCCCAGACTTTATGACCCAAGACATTTCTTTTCACATAGGCTCATTAGAACATTGGAAGAAATGTTGATAATATCTTAGAATGTGTGTGTAACATTTGAATAAAATGGGGCACATGTCCCTTTACTTGCAGGATTAATTAACTTTGAAGAGAGTAGCCTTGTGTAGCTTTAGTGTAGGATGATATCCTCCCAAGGGGGTAATGAGATATTAGACATATTTAGCTTGCTTTCTTTTTTTTTCTTTTAGGTTCTTTCCCCCTCCCCCAGCATAAGTAATTGTTATTCTCTGAGGATGGGAATGCAAGACAATCTTGCTTTTGAAACTTTTGAGCTCTTCTTCATTCTCACATCCTGAGGCTGTGGCATTATTACTCCCTGGAGTATTCAGTTGTAGTAACTTGGCCAGTTGATAGGGTAGGAAAACATAGTCTGGTCCTTGGGCCTATGTTTAAACAGCAGCTTGCCTTGAGCAGTCAGGTATGTTTGCTACTTTTTTAGGCCCAAATGCAGTAGCCATATGTTCTTGTGATGTGAGGTTCTTTTTGGGGGGAGGGGGCAGTGTGTTTGTACTTTAGCTTGTCTCCCTCTTACCTTTTTTCTCTTCCACTCCAAACACAACTCTGAGCTTTTATATTAGAAGTTGCTTTCTTATAGCTCTTTTGGATACACTGTAATTGGGACTGTGAGCTGCTGTCCTGTTTGGGTTACTATGTCATGTTACCTTAGTTATTTTCCTATTTTTAAAAAATGGGATAGAAGTGACATATATTAGTTTTATATGTACAGTGTAGTGATTTGATATTTGTATATATTGCAAAATGATCACCACAATGACATCCTTCCTATTTTTATATTTAAGGAAACAGAATAGAATGGTGACTAAGAGCATGAAACGGGCGGGTTCAAATCCAGTCTTTACCAGATTAGTTACTTAATCTCTTTAAGCTTTAGTTTCTTCATGTGTAATAATATTATTATGGAATATTCACTACATGCCACACTCTACTACATATTGACCTTACAGAGTAATTTGGCATAGTAAAAGAGATGGATGTACTTTAGAGGTTTATTAACCTTCGACACATAATAGTTATTCAATAGGTGTTAGCTATTGTTATTAACACCGTGATAATTTATGAATGTGATAACCTGAAGGAAGGCCTGATATAATAGTGAGCTAGTGACAGAATCATCAACCTCATGAAGAAAGAGCAGTCGCTGGGAATGTGTTTATGCCCTTCCTCTAAGTTCAAGATGGAAAGATGTTTGGCTCACATGGATAGAATGAGGTTAATTAATAACAAGGACAATGTGACATTCATAAAGCAGCTTGTGGGACAGCTTATCTCTTAAGTATATTTTTTTTAGTCCATTTAAAGTTTGAAGGTCAAACACCGAAGGGAACATCAGAGCATAATGTTATTGTAATGGTTTGTTTTAATGTGTGTAATTTAGGATGACTATGTGCCCTGGATAAACTAATCCATGATGTGAATTACTTACCTTTAGTTGTAATTGTAGAGTATAGTCCATGTATAGTACATGTCATAGAATAGTATATATTATAGTATATTTTCCTGAACACTTTTGAGCACGGTACAGTTGCATCGCTTTGCTATCTATGTTTTCCTCTATACCATTTTGGTATAGAGGATGTGTAACCAGCATTCTTAGTCTTCCTAAGAGGAAAAATGATAGCTGTAGAAAGCTCATTTATATTGCTGTATTGTGAAATCAGTGTGAAGACTTTGCAGTGATTGAAAATGTGGGTGGTAGCTGAAATCAGCAGAGAGTGCCAAAGTGCCCTGAGCTTTGAAGCATGGTTTTGATATTTAGCTCCTCAGCCAGAGGAGTTGGCATACTTTATACATCCTTGTTGTCTTTTGGTGAAACAGAATGAGAAAAAATATTTACTTAGGAGTTCTCTAATCGAAACTGAAGTCTATTATTATTAAGCTGAGGTTTCTCTTTGTACTGTCTGGCAAAATATATACTATTAATAGTGTAAAAGTAAATATCTTAAGAATTTGGGTAAGAATCGATCCTCATCTTCTATGATCTTTTTAAAGAAAGGCTCAGGAGTGAGATAGCCTCTCAGTTCTTGCATGTTTGCCTTTATACTTCAAAAATGTGTCTGGGTCAGAGTTCTTGTACTTTGCACCCCATGTTTTTTCTCTGAGGATTTTTTTTTTTTACATATTGCTGCATGATCTTTTCATAATGTATATTATTGTGAGAAATCAGCCTGAAATTTGTTCCCATAATTAGTGACTTGATTCTTTTTCCCTTAACCTGGCTGCTTATATGATTCTTTGTCCTTGAAGTTTAGTGCCTTTACTAGGATACGTTTCAATATTGATTTTTCTGCATCAGTTTTTCTTGGGACTCAGTGTACCCTTTATTCTGTAGTTTTAGTTCTTGTTTTATTGCAGGAACTTTTTTTGTATATTTTTTAAATATTGTTTTTGTTTCCATTTTCTTGTCCGTTCTCTTCTTCCGTTATGCATGTATTGGATGACCTTTGTTTTCTATATCCATCCCTTTCTTCCAGTCCTATTAAAAGCCTTGCTCTTTTCCATGGCAGGCACATAGGTAGTTAGTACAGACTTCAAAACCAGCTCGCCTGAGTTTGAATCCCTGCACTATCACTTACTTACTTGCTATTTAAATATGAGCCCTTTACATAAATTTCCAAACTTCAGTGTCTTTATCTTTAAAATGAAGATAGTAATGCGTCTATCTCAAAGAGTTATTATGAAGATTTATGAGATAAGACAGAAAAAGGGCTTGGAAGAGTGCATAGTTGGAAGAGTGCATAGTAAGTGTTCAAAACTGCCAGCTATTGTTATTTCCATTTTATTTTTCTTGATTTTCACCAGTCTATCCTTTATGTCTCTGGCTTTGTTTTCAGCCATGTCTGTTCTTTTTGCTGATCCCAATAAGGATATCTTTTCTAAAATTGTTTTATTATTTTCTTCCATTGTTTTCCTGAGTCCTGCTTATTTGTCATCTCTATTGAGTTGCCATTCCTTCTTAGAAATATTATATATATTTTCTTTAATGTCTTGAATTCCATGGGGAAAGATCTGTTCGTTATTTCTTATATTTCATGGTATTGTTTGTCCAGTATTCATTTGTTCTTTAGCTGATTTGGTTTACTATGTTTTGTCGTAACTTCCTTCTTGAATATTTGTAGAACTTTGTGGTATCTTACAGAATGACTGCTAGTGATGGCTCCTTTCTGATTGTTACTCATATTTAAATGAGTAGTTGTTTTATAACTAATTTCTGGCTGACATATGGGCACAGGCTGGGGCCAGAGGAGTGGGCTAGGGCAGTTGGAAGCTAGAATTTAATCCAGGCTTGTTAACTCAGCCTTTTTCCCGACTGCTCTTTCTTGGTGGATGTCGCTATCCTGACTCGCATGGATTGCCAGTTTGTCACAGGGCTTTAGCATGCTGACTTAGCATTTACTTCTCTTTGTTGTGTCAGTTATCAGTTTATTGCCCCTGAATTCTAAATTCACCTTTGCTGCTTGATCTTTGAAAGTGGACCTGGACCCTTCAAATGCCAAGTTTGTTATTCCTTACACCTTACCTCTCAATCCTTCAGTGCCTTTTAGAGTTCTTTTCCCAGCTCTATATTTATTCTCCCTTCATTGTTTAATAATTTTCTATATTAAACCTGTCCTCTGAATTACTGTCTGGTTTTTGTCTCCTGATTCAACCCAGACAGTCAAAAGAAAAAAAAAAATCCACCTCTCCTGAACTAATTGTGCCACAGCTACTTTTCTAACCTGCTCACAGCCTGTTTCTTGTAAATTTCCAGGAGGCTGTGCTTTTTTCCATTGTCTTATGTTGCTTTTGACCTGGTGGTGGTGAATGGGGCTCATTGGTGCTTCTGGGAGCCCAGGCGTTGTCTTTCCAAGCAAGAGATGACTGTTCTGGCAGTATACCTGTGGGATAGGGGAGGTAGTCTAATTTATTGGTTAGGACTGTGGATTCTAATTAAACTGCCTGAGTTTGCATCCTGGCTTTTCTTGATAGTTCTGTGATCTGAGGCAACTTTCCTCTTTGTATTTTAGTTTTCTTGTTGATAAAATGGGGATAATGAGAATACCTCCCAGGATCGGTGTGAGGATTAAATGAGTTAATATATATAAGTGCTTGGACCAGTGCCTGGAATAGTAGGCACTCAGTACATATCGTCGTCATCATCATCATTATTGTTGTCCTCATTAATAATTCTGTGAACTCTGCTCGTTGCTGGAGACCTGAGCTATATGTGCCTATTCTTAATGTGCTTCCTCAATTGGATACCAGATTCACTGCATTTGGCAACAGTTGTTTGTAAATTGTAGTTTGAGAATGTAGCTGTCCTATTACTATTATTATTTTTTTGAATCTCCCTAGCCCTGGTTTTAGGGAAGAGACTGATGGGAATTCCTTTGCCATCATTAACTGGAAACATATAATCTTTTTAAAGAGACCAAACAGCTTTGTTTTTCAAAGGATGCTTGTACATTTTTATAAACTAATGAAAAATTTTACAGGTTTTTGTAGCATACACAACCAGGTTTTCTTCCTGCTTGTGATAGTATATGCTATCATAAAAATGCATTTCTTTAAACTGTTTTGTTAACCAATATTTTAGTAATTATTTCACTTTGACAAAGATACTGTTTTAAGGTCTGTTTGCTGCAAGGTGACAACTGACTAGCAGAACTGAATTTTGTTGTGTCGATGCTAAATTTTTCACTTGATGCTGAACATTGTATAATTATGGAATAGCTTGAGTGTGTATAGAAAATGCTTGGGAGTTTTAGTTGAATAAGTTAGTTGTATGATATGACTGCCAAGAAAGCTGACAAGATCTTAGGTTTCAGTAACTGAATTATAGGGTACTCTCTGAACTAGGAGGGACTTGCTTCCCTGCCTTGGTCAGACTGCACCCTTGCAATTGTATCCAGTTCTGGGAATGTACTTTAAAAAGCATAGACTTATTACACTGTGTCCAGAGGAGGATGTCAAGAACATGTGAAACAGTGCTTCTTCCAGCAGTGGTTTGGAATAGGTAGAGATCTGTAACCTGGGAATGAGAAGATGGTGAGGGAAGGTGAGAAATGTAATGCCAACAATAATTATAGAAACTAGGACTTACTGAGTGTGACTGTTAACCTGACATTAAGAACCATGCATATATCTTATTTAATACTCATAACAAATTCTATGACATTGGAATAATAATTATCCCATTTCATAAATAGGGAAATTGAGGCTTCTAAAGTTTAGAAATTTAATTGAAGTCACACAGTTAATAAGTGACAGCTAAGATTTGACTTTATGTTTGTCTTATTATAAAGACTTGAGCTCTTACATAGTGTTTTATGTTTCTTAGGATTATTACCTTCAAGTATTTGAAGGACTTGCACATGGAAGAGGGTCCTAGAAATTAAAACTAGAACAGATAGTTGGTAAATGCCCAGAGTAGATTCTTGAATCAGTGTAAGGAACCGCATTCAGATTGGAGGGCAATAAATTCCCTAATACTGCTTATGTTGAGATGTGTGCTAAGTGGCTGTTCGGTGGGATTTTGTAAGGAGTTGCATGTTTGGATTGGGGTAAAGATAGATTATGTAATTCTTAGAATCTCTTCCAGGCCTGGGGTTTGGGGTTGCTGTGTATGTTTTCCTCTTTGTCAGTTGCCTCCTTTTTTTTTTTTTTTTTGTTATCTAAAAATTTTTAAATTGTGGTAAAGTACACATAACAAAGTTTAACATCTTAACCTTTTTTAAGTGTATAGTTCAGTATTGTTAAGTATATTCACATTGCTGTGCAACCAATTTCCAGAACATTTTCATCTTGCAACTCAATACCCATTAAACAATAAGCTCCCCATTTCTCCCTACCCCGAGGCCTTGGAGAGCACCATTCTACTTTATGTTCCTATGAATTTAACGACATATAAGTGGAATCATACAATATTTGTATTTTTGTGACTGGCCCATTTCTCTTAGCATAATGTGCTCAAGATTTATCTGTGTCATAGCATGTGTCAAAATTTCTTTACTTTTTAAGACTGAATAATATTCCATTTTTGTGTATAGCACATTTTTAAAATCTCGTCAGGTATGCTCTTTTAGTTAAAAAAATCACTTAAAAAGTTTTATAGTTAATGTTACAACAACCTATGGTTCTGTTTGCAAATTATTATAACTGAAGTTACCTGGGATAGTTAGGGAATGAAGTACCCTAGTTAATAAAATGATTTGGTTCATAGAGTAGATATATAAATTTTATGAGATTAACTGGAACCTATAGTGACACTATGGCATATCCTGGAAGTACTAGTTTGAATCAAATTCCTAATAATTTGTTTATTTTCTTATAATTTATGCCTTTTAAAATAAAATACAGTATTTATTGGAAAAAATGTATAGCCCTGAAAGTGAAAATACATATAAATTTCTAGTTAGTAGAATGTCAGATTACTCAGTATCTTCTGTGTGTTTTTTGCAAAATACTTAATGTTACAAAATTATTCTGTGGCATGTTCATTTTAAAAGTCAAACATTTAGTGACATTCTATGTACCAAACACTAAACTTTACATTAAAGCATTTACTTCCCATATTGGTCTTTGTAGTGTTTTATTGCTTCATTTCATGTCTGGAGCAAACTGAGACATATTATATGAAGTGACATTACCAAGATCACAGTGATCAGAAGCAGAGATTAGTATCAAGAATTTTTTTTCCTTCAAGTTAGACTTTTGTATTTCTTTTTAACAAAAGATTTAACCATAGCATTTACATTAGTTACAGCTTACCAGGTAATTTCTAAACACAGAAAAATTTTCTTGGTTTTTACTTGATTATAGCATGAAATAAAGGCATAAAATCTTCAGGTCATTGGCAGAGAAGGCCAAGAGGTGTCTTGGGAGGAAGTGCGCTTAAGACCTCCTGTAGTTACCACCTCTTTGCAACCCCAAATAAACATAGGGTCTAAGTGAAAACAGGTGCTTGTTGTGTAAACCAGCTTCAAGTCATGTCTTTCACTTCTGTGTTCCCGCTTGATCCAGCTCATCCCAGAATATGTGCTCAGAATAGCATTTTTAGAGATTAAACACTGTTTACTGAAACATGTACTGACAGGTCATCAGAATCCCAGGAAGGTTCTCAGAAATGAATTTTCAGTAAAACATCTCCAGATGATATTTAGCATTCAACTTTCTAAATTGTTTTGTAGAAACAGTTGGGAAGCCACAAATAGACTATGAGAAGCCGGGTACAGAGAACAGTTGTTCTAAAGGTTTAGGGACATCCCAGGAAAGAATGGAACATCACAGATCTCAGAAAACCAAAGGAAATATGCATATTAGGCATATGCAAATTTGATATAAGAGCCATGGTCTTTTTCATTAGTGAGATTCAAACAAATTAAGAGGGTTTTTTTTTTCTTTTAACGAAGAAAGTGTTTGAAATTCGCTACTTTCTCTGTTCCTTTTCCAATAATGTAAACTCATGAAAACAATAATTCTAGAACGTTGTGATTCCTCCGCCCGCCATTCCTCCCTTTGCTGGCATCTATTTTATAGAGAGCCACCGAGGTCCAAGCTTGTAAACCTAGATTTGTTTTGTTCTCCTAGGTGTTTATAGTTGCCATGTATTTGGTGAGGGTTTCTCTTTCCTCATTCTCCATGACGCTCTGGCTTTCTGTCTTTTCAGGGAAGAAGAGCCCAGACCTAGGGGAGTACGACCCCCTCACACAGGCTGACAGTGACGAGAGCGAAGATGATCTTGTGCTTGACTTGCAGCAGAAGAATGGAGGGGTCAAAAATGGGAAGAGTCCTCTGGGAGAAGCGCCAGAGCCTGACTCAGATGCCGAGGTTGCGGGGGCTGCAAAGCCACATCTTTCAGAGGTCACCTCAGAGGGTTACCCCTCGGAACCCCTCGGAGGCCTGGAGCAGAAGGCCACCTCTTCCATTGTGTCGTATGTGCGCACATCTGTCTTTCTGCTAACTTTGCTGATCTCAATGATCCTGGTGCTTGTATGTGCTTTCCTGATCCCCTGTCCCCCCAGAGATCTGCACAGCACTTGGAGCCGCCACTTGGGCCCCCAAGGAGGTGAGTTGTAGGATTTTCAGCCCTAATTCTGTAAAACTTATGATTACATGGAAAATTCCTACAAGTCTTTAAAAATAAATGTCTGTCATGTAGCATTTCACCCCCTGCATCTGGAGGTGCCTTTAAGAGGTTAAGATTTTAAATTAAACAAAAAGATGGATTGATATAGCTCTAAAAACTTGAGAAGAGCACTGCTTTGTTGTGTTTCTGTTGGCACTGGTCTTAATTAGACATAGATAGGACAGAGCTCTGGTTTTCTGGGTTTTTGCTATGCAGCTGACACTGTATCAGAGGAGAGCAAAGCTGTAGGAAGGGCTATTTACAGAGAAAAGTAAGGCTCAAGGCCTGGCCAGACAGAGGCCAGCTCTCTCGTAGGACCCTTAATTATAGAAGCCTGACCTAATTTGAATTTTAAAAGAATTTCTTTTCAAGTAAAAGAGAAAATGGTAAAGACGGTGCAGCCCGAGTAATTCTAGCAATTTCGTCTCATTTTGTAGCAGGCTTCCTTAAAATAGCTTGCTCTGGGTCAAGAATGGGGATTACATCTAAATTGTCTATCAGTGCTTGAGTGGTTCTGTTTCTTATAAACTGCAGTAGGCTGAAGGGGTTCAAAAAACTCTACCCCAAAATATGTCACTTTGGCATATTGATTATTTTTTAATTAAAGGTACTTGGACAGCAGCAAATGCAAGAAGGCCACTGACCTTCAGTTCTCGAAATCAGGAGATGAAACTCCCATATGAAAGGTGTTCTCTCTATACCAAGAGGAAAGAAACATTCTTATCACCAGAGACAGGCTGTTGAGGCTGAGGGAAGTCTGTACAAACATACCTTGTTAAAGTACTTCTTATCTTCCTGTAGTCTCCTCATATGTTTTAATTACTTTTCCACAGTTGCCACTCTTTGTTCGACCTAGGATATAAGAGCTAGGGCCTAGCCATTTCATTTTTCTCTGGGGACTCCTAATACATGCACAGTTTCATTAAATAAAATTTGGATGCTTTTCTCTCGTTATTCTATGGCAGTCCCAGCTAGAAACCCCTGAGTAGAGGAATAGTTTTCTCTCCTCTGCAGTGTTCCACACCCTTTTGTCATCTCGATCTGGAAATATTTTATTTCTGAAATTCTCTGATCCTAGTTAGAGTAGCTTCTGATGAGTTCTGTGTTCTCATCTTTGTCGTTTAAAGTGAAACTGAGCGGATGTGACTTGAGTTATGTTTCTCCCACATAGACTATCTCTTCCTCTCTTCCTTGCTTTTTTGATTTTTCTGGATGAGCTCTTGTAATATTTATATGCAGTGTAAAGACTAGTAACAAACTGAGTGTATCCACCACCCAGTTTAAGAAATAAAACATCATAAAGACCTCTGAAATGTCCCATGTATCCCTCCTGACCATGTTCCTCTCCCACCCAAGGGTTTCACTATTGAGTTGATTATTTGTTTACTTCTCTTTACAGTTTTACCACATATGTGTCCCTAAACTATATAGTGTCTAATATTGCTTGTGGGTTTTTTTTTTTTTTTTAATTTTATTTAAATGGAATCATATAGCCTTCTGTGACTGGCTTTTTTGTTAAAAATATTTTTGAGGTTCATCCATATTGAGGTACTGTAGTTGGAGTTTACTCATTTCTCCACTGTGTAATTTTCCATGGTATGAATACCTCATGATTTATTGATCCATTTTACTGTTGGTGAACATTTATTTAGGTGGTTTCCATTTTTGAAAAAAATAATGCTGCTAAGAAGGTTCTTGTACATGTTTCCTGATATATAAGAATTCTCTAGGGCATCAACCTAGGAGTGAAATTGCTGGGTCAAGTGGTATATGCAGGTTCAATCTTAATAGTTCATGTTAAATTATTTTCCATAGTGGTCGTACGAGTTTATACTTCCACTAGCCATGTGTGGGTTCTCTTCAAATTTGACAGGCATCCTCTGACTTCACACTGTGTGTGTGTGTCTTGAGGCGGGGGTGGTGGTAGTGGTGGTGGTGACGACATTGCCTGCTTTGTGACGGCCAGGTGGAGATGGGAGTCCAGGCTTCCACTAGGTCTCTGTCGACACCACTCTAGCGGGAATGAGAGGTGGTCTGCCTCAGTGCGGGAGTGCTGGAACTATAGTCTTCAGTTGTCTGGAGGGCCTTAGTGCTGCTAGGGCTAAAAGTCCTGGCTCCCCGCCCAGCCTTCTCTTAGATAACCCTGGTGGAGGGTTACCATGGGGTAGGGGTGGAAGTCTAGACTCCTCACTTGGCCTTTGCTCCAAGGGTGGGGCCACAGTCTTATCTGTGTTGTTTGGTTGGACTAGAGCAGTTTTTATCTAAAACTTTTCTGTCTTACTAGGTTAGGAGAGCCAGCTCTTCTTGGGCCTTTTTGTCTGTGCCTGTTGGCATTTCTGGGTTGCTGGTTTCTGCAGCACCCTGTCTGGCAATTGAAGCCAAAAGAAAACCCAAGGGAGTCATCACTTTGTCATTCCTTGGGTCTCACAGCCCCTAGTAGGTCTGCCTTCTCACTACCTTGCAGAGTCCTTTTACATTTGTCATATATAACGTCCAGGGATTTTAGGTGTGCCTAACAAGAGGAATGGGCAGAATTGCGCCTGTCTGGGAACTGAAAGTCTGCCTGATTTTATGGAGGCGCTATGTATTCATTTCTTTTTTAACAGGTTTGTGGTAACTTGCTAAGTACTTTTTTTTTTTATGTGTTTATCAGATGGAGACCTGTCCCCATTGGAATTGGCTGATGTGAATGAAGATGGCCTGCGTGATGTACTTCTCTCCTTTGTAACTTCAAGGAATGCGAGTGCAATTGGTAAGAGCTGTGTCTTTTAGAGGCTGCTGTGGGAGAAGCTCATTGATTGAAGGGGCTGTGAGCTAAGAGGAAGCATCAGGGTTGTCTCCGGTGGGGGCCGGCGGGGGGGCAGTGTAAAAAAAGATCTGCAGTGAATAGAAAGTCACCATGGATCTGTCATACATGATAAACCTTATCAGAAAGTTTCTGTATGTAAATAAAGCTCATTTCAAGAAATCAGAGTGCTGTAGCTGGAAGTAACTTTAGTGGTCAGTGAAGAAGCTGAGATCCAGAGAGGAAGTGACCTGCCCACCTACCTGCAGTGCACAGCATAGTACGTAGGTTTCTTGCATTTTCTCCCAATTTTCCATAGCCTCTTAGATAAACATTGATTATCCTACCTTCCCATCCCCTGTGGAAAGCTTTGTTCACGTACTAACTTATCTTTCACACATATATCTTGGCTAGGTATTTTCCTGTTTACTCCTCTGTTTCTGCTCTCTGTCTGCTCTGCTTTGGGAGGTTGACCTCTATGGCTTATATCAAGGGTCCCCCTTGCCTGCGGATTTCCACTTGGGTTTGGCCAGTAGGGAGCACAAACAAGAAATTGGAGGAGAGGAATAAATAGAGTGAGGAGGGGGGATGTGTTCCCCTGGCTCCCTCTTCTCTGGGGTCACCTCAGTCTGGCTACATACTTGATCACAGGTTACAGCTCCTACTAAGTGGTCTTTTTACAGGACTTTCTTATTCTGGATTCCAGCAATCCCTTCCTCCCCTGTCCCTCTGGGCCTGGGAGTGGTAACGGACCTGAGGGACTGTACTGTTCGTTGTGGTTTCTCTGTACCCTGACCACATCTTATAGTCTCTTTATTAAACCTTCCACAACTTACTCTAATTGAGTGTGCTGTTTCCTGGGATCCTAGCTTTCATACATGTTAACTGTAAACAAACAAAAAAATGTTTCGCATTTTCAGCATAAGTACACAGGGGCTTTTGGTTTGTCTTGCAGCCCCCATTAAAGTGAATTCAAACTATAGTCTGTTAAGTGATACAAGAACTCAAGTTTGAGGCTGAGGATGCCCTAGAAAACACTTTTTAATCATTCAGGCCCTGGAATAACATCTAGGTCTATTTTAGAGAATTCTAGGCTGCATGCCTCTCTGATGTCATTAGAACTTGCTTTCTGGGGCTTGTGCACTGGTAGAAGCAGTACAGGCACAGATCTGTTACAGAGAGAACCTCCAGGCAAGAAACTGACTTTTATGATTGAACCTTAGTTACATTTTTTTTTTCTGCCTGCAACTCATTAGCTTTTGAAATAAAAATTCCCCCCATTCACTTTTAGATTTAGAGATTTTTTTTTTTTTTTTAGTCGTTTGGTATTTTGCATGGTTTGCTACATTTCAGGATCCATAATGACAAGGTCATGCGTTTGGACGCAATACGAACCAGCCTGATTTGGTAACAGACTATAAAAATAATAATATAGCTAACATATGGTGCTTTCTATGTGCTATGCAACATCGTAAGTTCATAACATATACTGTAGATGAATTTATCCCTCAAGTCAATCCCGTGAGGTAGACTAATATTATTTTCCCCCATTTGCAAGTGAAGAAACTGAAACATAGGTTAAGGAACTTGTCCAGTGTCCTCTAGCTGGGAAACGATAGAGCTGGGATCCAAATTCTGGGAGCCTGGCTCTGGAGTTCATGTCTTTAACAATCATGTCACACTGCTGTGCTCATAACCCCAGACATTGAGTTAGAAGATCTGCACCACTGAGCATAAGAAGGATTGTGTTTTTATTTGTTCTCTTGTTCATTCACTCAACAATTACGTATTGAATGCCTGCTGTGCACCTTACTTGGAGCTGTGCTTGTCGCATATTGAGCTAAATAGGATGAGTGTAGTCTTTTTGCCTCAAGGAGTCACAGACTAGTGGGGAAGAGACAACCCATCACCACCTGGACAAAGATGAGTCAGAGAATGATGTGGAGTCAGTGGGGGCCTTACAGGGGAATGACAGTGCAGTATTAATCATAGCATTCCTGGGATGTCTGGATGTTAACATTCGTTACCACACTTTGTCATGTGTATCACTGCTTCTAGCAGCCAAGCCTGAAACAGCCACAATTTGTCCCTTGTTTTTAGGTTGTATATTTAATTAGTCGCACTGAGGAATATGTACAATAAAGCTCTAAGACTTATATTTCCATATCTGTATTAGTTGTTGCTAGAGGTAGAAAGTATGTGAGATGGGTTCAGTATCCCATCCTGAAAGTGAATATAAAACTGAAAGTGAATATAAAGAGAGAGTGTTGTAGCCGCCAGCTCCTGAAAGAAATTGAAAACCTACAATTTCTCTATAGACCACCAGAAACCAGTGAGTTATAGGAAACACACTTTTTATTCAGCCAGCTGGGTCTGCCAGGGGTACGCAGACCCCAAATTAAGCAGCCCCGAAATGTAGAGGTACAGGGTTTTTAAGCCCTAAATCCCATTCCTCATTCTGTGTTAAACACAAAGGTCTGTTTTTCTCCTATTCACTACCTGTCAACCCACAGGTCGGGTGTGCAGGCGGGGGTACAGAAGCAGAAAGCTTATTGTTAGAATGTTATGTTCCCATGGGTGATAGCCTATGTTCCCATGGGCGATGACCTATGTTCCCATGGGCGATAGCCAAGCAGTAATTTTCCAGCCAGCACAAGAGAAGTATTATTCTGATGTTAATTAAGTGACATAAAGGATTATGGACCTAGGATACTTTTCCCAAGTATTCTTTCCTGACTGGGGCCAAATCAGCTGATTCCATGGAATCCTAGACCTGGAAGATCTACTGATCATCGCTAACTTCATGTCTTTAACCCTTATGTCACACATTTATCACCAAGTGTAATCTATAGGTTTTTATTTTTTATTTATGAAACGATACATTTTCTGCTCTCAGGGAGCATTTGCTAGTGATGTTTAGAATTCAGGTATTTTGCTTCCTGCTCTGCACATATTCTATATTAGTCCCACGTTTTTCTCCTGGCTTTTTGTTGTTGTTGTTCTCAACAGCTACTTTTCCTTATTCTTGATGTTTTTTTTCCTTTGTTCCTGTCAGAAAACAATTGGCTGTTATATGTGCGAGGTGTTTTGTAAGGCGCTAAGGATACAGAAATTAACGCAGCAGTCTTTATCCTTAAGGATATCAGTATTTGGTGGGGCCCGAGGTGACAGACATGTAAACAGATATGTTGGGGGAGGTGCAAGAGTGGAGTTGCAAAAGGCAGCCTGGAGGAGGTCCACAGCTCTAGTCTCGCACGAGGGATGCATTGAGCAGATATGAAAGGTACTCTGTTTTCAGACCTTGTTGCCAGAAATATGGAAGGGAGCTGAAGACACAGGTGAGAGTTGCTGCCTTTCCACCATTTACTTTTGATTTCTTGTCCTCTGATTATCTCTACTTCTTATCTTCTCTGCCTCTTTTCCTTTCTTGTCTCTCTTGTGTGCTTTTAGGTGTCTCGAGGCCAGCTTCTATTCTCGTGTGCCTTTCCGGGATGAATGGCAGCACACTCTGGTCTAGTCCCCTTCCCGAGGAGGCTCGAGATATTACATGTTTGGATCTGCTGCCAGGAAGCGTGGCTGAAACCATCTGCCTTGTGACAGGGACACACAAGATGCTCAGTGCATTCAATGCGACATCAGGTAACGATCATTTGTCATAAAGGATCTCTGCTCCAGTGAGCTATAATCTCAGATGAGAGCAATCTGGTGGGGAAGGGACTTTTCCACTCTCACATGGTGGAAAATCTGATTTACTTCTCTGGAAGGTGGTTATTAAGAGAGATAACAGAAAGGGTAGATTGAGTACTAGACCTACGATTTAACCTGTTTGATGATAGGATAGAGCTAACCTGACTTATCCAGACAGGAACTACCTGGACGCCTTTGGTTTGTAAATAGTCTCCCTACTCTGTTCTTTGTACAATACAGCTGAACGTTGTCTCTTCATATTTGATATATATGGGGTCCATGTGTAAACTTGGGCATTAATTACTAAAAAGTATATCAGTGAAGAACATAAGGTTTGCTGAGGCATGTTGATTTGGCCTTTTATCTTCTTATTACAATCAGACATCTATGACAAAAGAAATGAAAAAGAGATGAAGGCTCCTTGCCGTCATAAGAATACTGCCAATATGCTTGTTAACACCTTGGACTCTAGTGAAGCTGAATAGATAACATCCTTCCCAGTTTCAGAGGTTGGAGTTTGGTCATGGGATACTTTTGAGTTAAAAAAACAAAATTGAACATGAGTTAATTCTAGAGCTGAAGTCATCTTGAAAACCTACAATTTCTCTATGAAAACCTATAATTTCTCTACTCATGTGAACATATGGTAGGAGAGAGAATTGATCTTCTGGTGGGCCACCCACCAGAAGTTGGATGGTTCCTTAATAGTTGTAATAATCTCTCGCAGATCAATTCCTCTGTCCCAGACAAGTGGGCTCCTCTCTCCTGGAGAGACTTTAGCATCTCCATTTTATCTAAAAAATCTAGGTGTGAAGTTATTGCATGGGTTTATGAGCCAGATACTTGAGGATTTCAGCTTCCACTCCCTGCTTCCTTCCTCCCCAATAAGATAAAAACTCAAAGGAAATAGTGCGTAGTAGTTGCTGTCTGTTGTTCAGCCTTTGAGTTTCTCTTTTCTGGCCTGGGGGCATTGCGTCTGTCTTTTTTCCAGAGGCTGAAAGCCCTAATTGTGATCAGCCTATTTGTTCTTCTCTAGGGAAAGCCATTTGGACTTTAAATCCAAACTACTTATCCAATGGTACCCTGGCTGCCCCAGCGGTGGTGCTGCCTGACGTAGATGAAGATGGCGTTAGAGATCTTGTGGTTCTGGCCATTGGAGAATTGCAGGTATGCTCTATGTTAAATGGTCTTTTTTCTTATAGGGAATGCTTCAACTTTAGTCAGTTCCTAGTATTGTTATGGGAAATGCTACTTGAAATCTTATTACAAGGGCATAGGTTTAAATAAATTTGCTTTGTGAGATTAAATGAGTATATTACCATTATGAAACCATTTTCCCAGCTGTCTCATTTTGGTTTCATTGACTGTAACATGGTGGAGCTTTGCAGCCAGATAGTTCTGTGTTTGAATTCCTGTCCTACCACTTTGTAACTTTGTGGCCTTGGATAAGCCACAGAACCTGTCCAAGCCCTGGTTTCCTTGTATGTAAAATGGGAATGTTATTTCTTTTGGCAGGATTGTTATGAAAGTTAGAGCTAACATGTTAAAGTGCCTAGAGTAGTGCCTGGTATTTTTTTTGCATGTGTTGTATGTATTATTAGTTTTATTATATTTTATGTATTTAACTTTTATTTCGATTATAAAACCAAAAGACAGACAGAAAGTTCATCAAACTAATAAAGAAAAAATTTTAAGTCACACAAGAAATAACAACAGTGACCAAAGAAGGATAGTTGTAGTTTAGGCTGTGACAATACAGACTTCGTTTCCAGTACAGTGGTCCTTAAATTTTGCTTCGCTGGAACTCCAGGGCCCTGGAGCCGATTATTCTCTGCCCAGGGAAAATCGCAGTAGTTTTTTTTTTCTCCTCAAAATCACAGGGAAGAATACATTAATGAACAGAATTATCTCTATTTAAAATTTTTTATTTCTAAAGCTTTTCTTTGAGCTTATGTCAAAGTTCCTCTAAGAGTTTTTCTTAGACATCCTAGTGTGAGCCTGCCAGGAGATGCTTGTGGACAAAAAAATTGAACAATTGGCAAAGAATAGTTGTGGAAAAATGTGGATACAGATCATTTTGCCTCCTTGGATAGCTTGTTTTAATTTTAATAGACCCTGTGTTTGCTGTTGTGATTTTCGTAATGTATATAAAATGAGTTATACAATCTGCAAGTAATATTTAGAACAGAATTAAACCTATCACTGTTTTTTGGTTTTCTGCCAAGAGTACCATAAACTAACTCAAAGTGCTCCACTGATCATGCGTTTTGAGGAGCATCGTTCTAGTTCACTAGGATACCTTATGTTTGTGAGATGAGAGGAAGGAAGATGAGGAAAATTTCTGAAGGCTAGTCTGTTTTAAGGGTACTTTCTGCTAATTTTTCTTCAACTAGCCAATTGGTCTCGAAGTAGACTGAACCAAGAATTCAGGAAATATTTACATAATCTTTCTTTTTATCGCAGTTACCGTGAATAATGAGATTGGGGGCTGAGGAAAATTTCAATGATTATATCCATCAGGGAGTGATTCTCTGAAGTCTCAAAGTGGAAAGTATGAGGAGTTTCTTTTAATAGAATTATGTTTAGCAGAGGCATAGCAAGACATTGAACAAGTTTATAATCTAGACCTTAATACCCCATCTGGCATCTTATTAGCCAGCAGTGGTTGATGGGATAATGGTTTAGGCCTTCACGGACCTTCTATAGTGAGGGAGCCTCTGCTAGAAGGATTGGCTTCTTGCTGATTTGTGCCTTTTGTTTGTCTCTACCAGAAAACAAAAAAAGTGCCTAACTTGCCTCACAGAATTTACTTACTTGCACAGTAGTGTACAGATGTGGTAGACTATTCTAGAAAAATGTTGGAGAAGCAGTGGGTTTAGAGCAGTGGCTTTATCTTTATACTGACCTCTTCTGACTTTTATATCAGCAACAAAGACTCTGAGGAACCTGTTTCCTCTAAGCTACAGATATGGAAGGCTCTCTCTTCACAAGGAAAGAAACATGTTAGGCCTGTGACTTAGAGCAATTACATTCTGAGATCTGGGCTTAGAGTGAGGTGGGCTTGGGACACCTGACCAGTTTTGAAGTTAGAGGAAGTGCTCTGGCCTACAACACCAGGGGGAAGGGACCTTAAAAGCCATGTGGTTAACCCTCTTACACCATGCTGCAGCCTCTGATGGAGTATTTCTCTGATGGAGTATTCCGGACTCTCCTCGAGTACTCAGGCCGATGGGCATATCACTAAATCGTGAGACAGTCTGTTTCACTTTTGGTCAGGTCTAGAAAATTCTGTCATATTGATGAGAAATCTGCTCTCTCATAGCTTCCATTCATTGTCCAGCTTCCGCCCCACAGAGCTACTCTGAATGAATCTAATCCTCTTTCTCCATGAAAGCCCTTTAGCTGTTAACCTCGTTCCTCTAAGCTTGCTACTCCCGAGGTTTAATATCCCCAATTTCTCATACTGTTCCTCATGCCATGCGAAGTCCAGACCCCTCTCTTTTTTGATTTCTTTACTTTTACACTCCATTTTGTCTGTATCTCTTTTAAAATGTGCCTATATTTGAAAACAGTTTTCTATTTATAATGTAACCAGTTATAGCAACATATGGAAATTGTTACTTTTGATATAGACTGTATTTCTGTTAGCCAAAATTGTGATAGCCTTTCTAAGATTCAGTTTTTGTTTATAATCACCCACATCTTTTAATTAATCAATTAATTAATGGCCCACTTTCTTTTTCCAGACTTTGACGCATCTTCCAGCCTAAGACTTTTTTTGAATTTTGAGTTCCTCATACAGTGAATTAGCTATCTCTCTCAGCTTTGTGATCAGCTTGAACTCTATTCATTTGGGTCTTTGATGAGAATGATTAATAGGAATGGGACAGTGGCACAGTACTGTGACATTTCACTAAAACCTCCCCCTGGATTGGCATTGACTTTTTCTCTGGGTACACTGAAAACCATTTCTCTTTATCTTGGCTGAAGAATTAATGATGATCAACTTTGTCAAGAGCTTCACTAAATTCAGGTTATTGTTACAGTCCTCATATTTCCTAACCAACAGTTCTATTCCCCAAATAAAATCCTCTGCAGCAGGGGTCAGCGAACTATGGCCTACAGGTCAGATATGGCTCACTGCTGGTTTTTGTAAGTAAAGTTTTATTGGAACACAGTCATGCCTATTTATGTATAACCTGTGGCTGCTTTCACGCTATGGCGGTAGAGTAGTTGCTATAGAAACCATCTGGCTCTCAAAACCTAAAGTATTTACCATGTGGCCTTTCACAGAAAAAGTTTGCCTATCTTTGCTTGAGAGTAGGTTGATAGTGGCCAGGCCAAACATTAATATCACTGCCTGCATTGATTCTTGTTGGGACTAAGTATTACTGGGGATTTCTGGGTATCAGAGTAGAGATCCTGTGGTTAGCTGTTCTATATTTAGCTCTGGGATAGAATTCTGGTCTCAGGAGAGTGTTCATCACTAATAGCTGTGCTTCAGAGAACTTGTCTGAGCTACCATAAAGATGCTCATTGCAGGTATATAACAGGGAATGGGACATTTGCCTCTCTTTCTTACTTCCAGGGAAATAAAGTGAAGCAGATTTGGCTTTGTGCTTTCCAACTTTGGGAAGTGTTTCTGAACCCTTAACTAATGAGGAAGCAATGACTATGTGTACAGACTATTTGATTAGGAAACGATAGGGCTTCTAGTGACTCAACTCCCTTCTTTCTCTTCTTCAGCCAGATCTGTGCTTCCTGCTGGTGTCTGGCCGGACAGGGAATCCAGTGGGCCGACCTGTGAAGTACAACATCATGGGAGTGGGGAATCTGATTGGTCCTCAGGTTTACATCACCGCAAGCGGGGCTGTCTACATCCTATTTGGCTTTGGTAAGAAGCAAGGCTAGTTTGTGCTACTGTTTCCCGTTGGCGTGTGTGATCAGGCCTCTTTTGTGAGACAGGGTGAAAGCTCAGGAGTTGCTGACCAGCCCTTTCATCACCTCCTATTACACGGACTGCTCACTGCTGCCACCTATTGCAGGTTATTAACTCTGCTTTCCCTTGCCGCCTTCTCCAAAGAGAAGACTCTGTCCAGCAGCCACATAATCACTTTCCAGTTCACCCCTTGTTGGACCAGTCTGGGTGGGCTATTTTAGACTCATCTGATGAGGCTCTGAGTCTCTTGCTCAGATCCTAACCCTGGGAGAGTTCTATTAAATTCAACTTCTCAGTGATGGTTCTTCCTATGGTGCTAGGAAATATCCAGGCTGTCGCCCTGCGAGACATTTTTGTTCAGGCCCAAAATCGAGACAGCTCACCACCTTCTCTGCAGATAGAAGAGCCAGAATGGGAAAAGCGAAGATCCATCAACCTGTCTGAACTCATTGACATTTACAGGTAGGGTAGATATATGACCTTGTCCTTGAGACCTCCTGAGCTCTCACGTGCTATGGAGTCTCTAAGTTTGGTTAGGCTGGTGAATATGTGGGCAGAGGCTTGTGGGGGAAACAGTGCTAGCCTTAATATACTATCTTCTGATCTGGTTAACGTGATTGAGAGGTTTCCCTGATAACATAATGTGTTGATATCTATTTGTTAGTGACCATGATGTGTGTGTGATCCCTTTGCACGTAGGTTGTAAGGAAGGATATTTGTTTAGGGTTTAAGTCAGAGTGGGGCAGAGTGAGGCCGGGGAACCTTCAGGTAGGGAGATAGATTTTATTTATCTATCTTTTGTAAAACTGTGCTGAAGTATCTGCTCTACTCTCTCTGTATTTTTCTTAGTGGAGGAATCATTTTGTCAGAAGCAAAGATAACATTCATGAAATCTTATTTTTTATTTTTGTTTATTTCTTAACTAAAAGAACAAAGTTTGTCATCTGCAGTGGATTTTTACCCATTTAGCACCAGGCCTGGGTAATAATCGTCTTTATTCTTTTCTACCAGAAGTTTCAAATGATTTTCTAGCATTTTTTAGGCAGTATCATGTTGTTTCAGTGAATTTGATAGATGTTAAATAAAATGGTCCCAGTTGTACAGAGAAAGAAATAATTTGATGACGTGGTTACCGTGAGTTGCTGTCTAAGCTTAATGACAGTTTCAAGCCTCCGGTCCAGATCTCCATCTGCCTTCCATGCCGTTCTCCTTAGCTCTGTTTTCTTTCCCACAGTATCCAACATGACAGGTATGGCTCTGCGGCACTTCTCCCATGAGTTCCTTTTGAACTTAAATGCTTTTTCTAAGGATCCTTGGTTTCTAAAAGGTCAAGAAGATGAAATGCAGGTGGAACAGCAGAGTGCCCCACTTGATAAGACAGTGGTGGGAGATGAATGCAAGAGTAAATACAAACATGCGCGCCGAGAGGAAAAGCCAAAATAAGTGGGTCAGGAATCTCATCCAAGCGGGAGACTAACTGTTGGGGTCTCGTTAATTCAGTGATGGTGTTGAACTACTCCAGATGGTGAAGGCAGCGGATTCCAACTGCAGCAACCTCCTGATTACAACTAGACAAGGCCTAGTCCTGCTTCGGGGGCAAAATCTCACACCTTGCTGGACACTGAGCCTTCAAGGCTTACACAGGTTTGCCGTGCACTCCTCACGTCTCCTGTTTCGATCCACTTTCTCATGTTTAAATATTGTCCAGAACAATTGCTTGATATTTGGGTCTGATACAAGAGAAGGGAGGGAGCGAGGTCCTTGTTTTCCGTTTTTACTTGCTGTCAGTTACTTACTTTGTTCTCATTTGCAGTCAGCCTACTCCTGGGTATTTCACTGATGATCAGACGTTAGACTTCCTTCTACAGATACAGGATGGAGTTGGGATGAAAAAGGTAAAACCTGGGGACTCAAATCGATCAAAACATATAAACCTTGTGTCCAGCCCTGTGCTAGGCACTGTGAGAAATAAAAAGAACCTAAAATATGGTCCCTTCCTTCAAAGAACTCAAAGTCTAGCTGAATGGATAAAACAAAAACTCATAATTCAGTACTAAAATCTATAGCATTGGGAGCTTGTCTAACTAACCTCCTTCCTGCACAGGATACCTTTATCTGGATCCTATGTTACAGTTGGGCTATAGGAATCTTCTGAAGTCTCTTGGTGGAGAAAGGCAGGCATAAATAAATTTAATACTTCAGTACATTCATATACTCGTAAGATTTCAGAGAAGGTCAGATATCTGTGGTGGCTGGGTTGTTATGGAGGACTTTATAAAAGAGAGAAGAGGAGCAGGGCCTCGAAAGCTGAACTGTGTTTCTGTGAGAAGGGAGTAGATGGGGAAGCACGCCGGGTTGGGGACAACAAGACCAGAGTCCCAGAGGCAGAATGGTATGGCATGTCCGAAGGACACTGAATAGATCTTTCTGATTTTACATGGTATTGTGTATTGTGAGGATATAATGATTGGATAGACCATTTTTTTATTTCTTTAACATTACAATTGGAGTTAGAATTTTTATATTTTTAATAATTGACCTAGCTCTTTGGTTTATCTTCATTGTAAAATACATATCTATGTATTGCACACTGTTCCCTGAGAGTGAACTCAGCAAACACTAATTGTCACTTCATCATGCCAAGTTCTGTGCTGGATGCACAGAGATGTGTGTGGAGACACAACACTGATGAAGACAAGACCCCTGTCTCTGTGGCTTGTAGTCGTTGGGGTGCCTATTCGCACACTGCTCTACCACATCGATTAAGTGCTGCCATGAAGCTTCACACAGTGCCAGGGGCTATGGGGAGCAGACAGAATGAAGGGAGTCAAGATGCTTCACGTTGGTCAGGGGTTAGATGTGCAGAAACATGGGAGCAGAGAAGAGGTTTGCGGGCTGGATGGATGAGGATGGGCTGAGGGGCAGTCCCACCAGAGAGATCAGAATGAGTTCAGCTGATGGAGGGCCCTGAAAGCAAAGATGCAAAATTTGGATGAGGTGTTGGAGACCGTAGGGTTATTTGGTCACGAGCAGAGGACAGATCCGATGATGCAACATCCCTTTAGGGAGAGTCTTCCAGCAGTACTTATAGGAAAGAAGCAATGTCTGATTGTATTTCAAAGGAATTCAGATAGAGATTGGAATTTTCATTGACATTCCAAGGAAAATTAAAGAAGCGTATACATAATAGGTTGGTTAGGAACTGAGATGCTCGGCGTTTAAACCTGGGTTTTAATCCTGGCTCCACTACTTATTGGTGACCTTGGGCACATTACACCGTTTTGCCTAGCTGAGGTTTCTGCGTTTGTAAAATGAGTAACAACACCGCGTACCTTCATAGGACTATCGTGACAGTTAAATGAAATAGTATGTGCAACTGGATGAAATCGTTTAGCGCAGTGTCTCTAGACTTGTTTTCTGCCCAAGACTAACAAAGGGAATCTGAAACTCCTCACCTGGTTTCCTCTCCGCTTCCTCAGAGGAGGTTCTCTCTCCAGGCGGTTCCAGGACCTTTTGTGAGTCAGAGCCTGAGCCTGGGCAGAGAAAAGCAAGGCCCGAGGGACTGGAAGAACAGGGAAGAGATTGTCGCATTTGCTGAAGGACAGAGGCACTGGGGCTGGAGGTAGATGGGAGAATTTCTTGGGGATTTTGGCAAATGACAGGCTCCAGAACTGTGAGGTGCGAAATGTTTGTGGTGAAAGGAGGTATAAATGCTGCCAAGCATCATGAATTCAATTCCTTTACTAATCCTTTGAGAGATGCAACTAAGGAGAAAATTTTCTCTTATTTCTTGTCTGTTTAGACTGTGCCTTTTTAAATTTGAGACTACCAGAGGGCTAAGCTGCATGTGCTATGACATCAATAGAGTCAAACAAGAAAGCTCTCAGCATAGCACATAGGACGCAGTGTTCCGTTGATCACTGTTCTCTAGGCGTTGCTGCAGTCAGGGAGGGGGAA